CTCCCAAGGAGCTAGGATTACAGGCATGTGCTACCACACCCAGCTAATTTTTGTATTTTTAGTAGAGACAGGGTTTCACCATGTTGGCCAGGCTGGTCTCAAACTCCTGACCTCAGGTGATCCACCTTCCTCGGCCTCCCAAAGTGCTGGGATTACAGGTGTGAGCCACCACGCCCAGCCTAATTTTTGTATTTTTAATGGGACAGGGTTTCACCATGTTGGCCAGGCTGGTCTTGAATTCCTGGCCTCAAGTGATCCATCTGACTTGGCCTCCCAAAGTGCTGGGATTACAGGTGTGAGCCACCATGCCTGGCCTACAAATAATTGTTATATTAATTTTTTTAATTATATGGTTGGATAGATATTATTACCTATGAATTTCATCTCAGGATAGTAAAGAAAATAGTACAAAATATTTCTGAAAGTATGCTTATCAAAAATGTTTAACTTGGCTGGGTGCAGTGGCTCACGCCTATAATTCCATCACTTTGAGAGGCTGAGGCAGGAGGATCACTTGAGGCCAGGAGTTCAAGACCAGTCTGGGCAACATAGTGAGACCCAGCCTTTAAAACAAAAAAAAAAAATTTCACCTGAATCTAATCAGGCTTTTATAACAAATTTCCAATTTACGGCAAACAAAGGAACAAGTGAAAAGATATATAATGACCTTATATATCTTAAATAAAAAACAACCTATAGTACAAATAGTCTCCTTAACAAGACTTCTATCATGAGACAGAGGGGAATGTACTAAGAATACATCCAAAGCCCCACATGCTATGCTAAGCCTAGAGATTACAAAGATGAATAAGTCAGTTCCTGTCCTCAAGTAACCTACTGAGAAATCTATTCAATACTTGAATATTATAAAACTAAACTTTTCAGACTTCCTATTTCTGTAAAGGACACAAAAATAGCAGCAAAAAAGATGATAAAGTATTGCTAGTACCATTTTTCGGCCTCCAGAAGATCCTGATTCACACTATTGGTGCTGTGCTCTCTGCCATCAAATGTTCTGATTTTGGGATATTCTGTTCTTCCTGCACATGCTGCTCTCATTTTTAAATTGAAAGCAGCTTGTGCTATCTGCTTATAATGCTTCCTGCTAATTAGGATCTGTTGCTTCACTTGGTGTAGAGCATCTAAAAAGAATCTTTCCACTTCTGTTCTCTCATCCAGTATGTTCTTGGCCAGCTTCTTCACACGATTCATTTCCCTGTCCTTCATCTGAAGAAGGTGCTGCAGCTTGTCAATTTCTACCTGACCCGCTTGGTTCTCTATCATTGCGTGTTGCTGCAGTTTTAAAACTTCACTCTCAAACTCTTTGGTCATGTAACCCAGAGCAGTCTCCAAGTTTACTACCTTCTTCTGAAGGGTTTGGATTTGTGATCTCTGCTGGACAAGTTGCATAATCTTTTCCTTAATCAACAGATCATTGATCTCCTAAAAACAGAAAGAGAGGTGATTTTTTTTTTTTTTTTGAGATGGAGTCTTGCTCTGTCGCCCAGGCTGGAGTGCAGTGGCACGATCTCAGCTCACTGCAACCTCCATCTCCTGGGTTCAAGCAATTCTCCTACCTCAGGCTCCTGAGTAGCTGGGACTACAGGTGCCCACCACCACACCCAGCTAATTTTTGCATTCTTAGTAGAGACAGGGTTTCACCATGTTTGCCAGGCTGGTCTCGAATTCCTGACCTCAGGCTATCCGCCTGCCTTGGCTAGGATAACAGGCATGAGCCACTGTGCCCGGCCGATTTTTTTTTTTTTTTAATCATTCCAGAACTTAGAAAGTTCCTCACTAATTTCCATTACTTCATGAGATTTGAGTTTTGTGCCAGGCTGAGGTGATATTTTGGTATTTTATGTAGAGAGTAACAAACATCCTAGGATCCTTGTCGGGACTTGGGAAGGCAATCTACTAATTGTGAATTTTGCTAATTAAGAAACTTTCTTGCAGCCACAAAACAAGAATAAAGGGCTGAGCATGGTGGCTCATGCCTGTAATCCTGGAGCTTTGGAAGGCCAAGGTGGATAGATCACCTGAGGTCAGGAGTTCGAGATCAGCCTGGCCAACATAGCAAAACCCTGTCTCTACTAAAAAATACAAAAATTAGCTCGCCATGGTGGTGCATGCCTGTAGTACCAGCTACTCAGGAAGCTGAGTCAGGAGAATCACTTGAACCCAGGAGGTAGAGGTTGCAGTGAGCCAAGATCATGCCACTGCATTCTAGCCTAGGTGAGAATAATACTCCATCTCTCTCTCTCTCTCTCTCTCTGTCTCTCTCTCTCTCTATATATATATATACACACACACACATATATATAAACTATACAGCAAAACATTAATAACTATATTGGAAACTGTGGCATATCCTTGTTGCTTATACCAATTATCTATTTTCCCTTTCCCTTTCCTCCTTAGTAGTAAAACCCCAACTTCATTCAGAAAGGCAGTTAAGTCCATCTGAAAATTCCCAGTCTCCCTTGAAGTTCAGCATAGCCATTTTCTAGTCAATGATATGTAAATAGAAATGTGTGTAGGACTTCCAGAAAGACCTCTTAAAGGAAAGGCACACTTTTTTCTTTTTTTCTTCCTTCCTGCTATTTAAAGGAATGGTTAGAGCTCCAGCATCCCCCACTGGGCTGTGAGGTAAGTTTGAGGATGTAAGCCAAGTGTTGCAGAGCAGAGTTAAGGAAGCTGAGTGTCTATTAACTTTGTGGCACTACCATTCCTGCTGAGGATTGCTTACCTCCAAGACTCCTTTAGGTGAAAGAATAAAAGTGTGGTGATGCCACTGATGTCAGGACTGTTACTCACAGCTAAATGTATTCCTAAGTGACTCAGGGACAACTCTAGGCAAAGAAAAATGAATATTCTAAGGTAGTAGAGGATAAGGGTCTTATTTATGTTTCTGATATATTCTTTATAAAGTTGAGTCTAATGCTTCTTATAAGCATTATAAGATTGAGTATTTAACCTTTACAGATAAAAAAAGTGCATCATCCAGACAGATGAAAAATGGTCTCATTGTCCTTATATATCATTATTACACTCAATTTTTGGTATTTATCAACCCAATCCTTAAATAAAGAAAAAAAGGACACCAAGTCTAAATGAGAGGGAACCTTTTGATGTAAAAGTAAAGCATGACTCTCTTGCAACTTCTGGGAGTTTTTTTGTAGAGCGCCAGCTTCCTTCAGGTGATATGCCAGGGCTTTCTGGAGATAAACATTCTCTTTAAAAACATTTCTTCCAGCATCGTTCAATTGCCTGAAATAGATATAAGATCTCAAAACACAGGTCTAACTTTTAGATATTGCCAAAATAGCAGAATGATTGCTTTACCACCTGCACCCCCCAATATTAGCAATAGCGACCACCACTTATTTAGCTTATGGTGGGTACTCAATAGTTAGGTGGGAATCTTGTAATTTAAGTTCTTGCCCAATAAAAAAGTGAAAACAGCTGAATGCAGTGGCTCACATCTATAATCCCAGCACTTTGGGAGGTTGAGATGGGAGGATCACTTGAGTCTAGGAATTTGAGACCAGCCTAGGCAACACAGTGAGACCCAATCTCTAAGAAAATCTAAAAAATTAGCCAGACATGGTGGTTTGCACCTGTAGTCTGTCGCAGCTACTTAGGTAGCTGAAGAAGGAGAACCACTTGAGCCCAAGAAGTCAAGGCTACAGCAGAGCGCCACGACTCCACCAGTGACAGAACGAAACCCTGTCTCAAAAATAAATAAATCAATAAAGTGAAAAAGGATGGGTTACTTCTAGTCCAAGGCAGTTAAGAGCAGGTATGAGTCTCCCATGCTCTTTCCTGTCCACATGACTGGACATGAAAAACTCAAACACGGAAGAGGTGCAAGAAGGAAGCAGCGAGGTTCCTGAATCATCTCTGGAGGAGAGCTGCCAGACCCACATAGGATTGTTCCATGAACAAGAAATAAACCATTAAGACTTGAGAGTTAGATATACTTCCACTAATATACCTCATGACAGCCCTGGTTTTATTATCTATTTATTTTTATAAACTCAGATTACTAGGAGAAGTAAATTAGCCCTACTTTTTGATGAAGAAATTTAACTTCAAGAAAGTTAAGAAATGTGGCCTGGCGCAGTGGCTCACATCTGTAATCCCAACACTTGGGGGAGGCCAAGGCGGGTAGATTGCTCGAGCCCAGGAGTTCAAGACCAGCCCGGGCAACATGGCAAAACCCAGTCTCTACAAAAAATACAAAAATTAGCTGGGCGTGGTGGCACATGCCTGTAGTCCCAGCTACTCTGGAGGCTGACGTGGGAGGATCACTTGAGCCCAGGAGGTGGAGGATGCAGTGAACCACAATCGCGCCAATGTACTCCAGCCTGGGTGACAGAGCCAGACCCTGTCTCAAAAACAAAGAAACAAACAAAAAAGTAAGAAATCTTCCTAAGGTTAGTTAGCATACATGTTGAGAACCAAAGTCAAATTCAGGCTGGGCACAGTGGCTCATGCCTGTAATCCCAATACTTTGGAAGGCCGAGGTGGGTGAATCACTTGAGGTCAGGAGTTCAAGACCAGCCTGGCCAAGATGGTGAAACCCTGTCTCTACTAAAAATACAACAATTAGCTGGGTGTGGTGGCAGGTGCCTGTAATCCCAGCTACTCAGGAGGCTGAGACATGAGAATCGCCTGAACTTGGGAGGCAGAGGTTGCAGTGAGCCAAGATCATGCCACTGCACTCCAGTCTGGGTGACAGAGTGAGACTCCACCTCAAAAAAATAAATTAAATAAATAAATAAATAAATAAATAAATAAGTTCAAAGCCCAGGTTCTTTCCACCACACCTTGCTGCCACAGAAAGAGTGGAGGAGAAAGGGGTAGGAGTACACAAAGAGAAACAAACAGTGAGGGACAGTAGACCAGAAAATTTGAAGCAAGTAAGCCAGAACAGAAGGGGGAAGACAAGAAGGTAAGAAGAAAACAGACCAGCAAAGAGGCAAGAGAGGCTATCAGAGTCAGAAAGGAGGCAGCAGTCTCTTACACAACAGCCTCATGGTGGGCTCTCTCTGCCAGCATTATTATCTTCTTTTCAGCCTCTTGTTCTAGTCGGTGCTGAAAAAGAAAATGGGCTGCTTAAATAGTTATGCCTCTAACAACAAATTTTACTCATCAAAAAGTATTTTAGAATGTCAAATAAAAAACTCCTATCCCCATGACCTGAAAGAAGAACTCCCAAGCACTGGTGGAGGAGCCAACAAAGAGGACAGTGTAAACACAGGAACCTTAGGGTACCGCCCCATTTCCCCACTTAAGCAAGCAATATGACATATAAGTAGGGGAGAAAAATCACTTCCATATTGGAAAGCAGAGCCAGGAGGAATTTCTGCTAAATGCACTGAAATGAGAGTTATTCATTTATTCATTCAGGACTAGGCTGTTCTCAGTAGCCTCTCCCTCTACTCCACCCTAATCTTGATTTCTTTTTTACTTGGTGTAGAAAATAAAAATTAGAAGTGCTTGGTCAGTCTACAAAACACTATGAGCATTGGCCGGGCACGGTGGCTCACGTCTGTAATCCTAACACTTTGGGAGGCCGAGGCGGGTGGATCACCTGAGGTCAGGAGTTCAAGATCAGTCTGACCAACATGGAGAAACCTCATCTCTACTAAATATACAAAATTACCCGGGTGTGGTGGCACATGCCTGTAATCCCAGCTACTCGGTAGGCCGAGGCAGGAGAATCACTTGACCCCGGGAGGCAGAGGTTGCGATGAGCCGAGATCACGCCATTGCACTCCAGGCTGGGCAACAAGAGCGAAACTCCATCTCAAGAAAATAAATAAATAAATAAAAAATAAAAGAATGCTATGTGCACTAATAATTACCAGATTGTTTTAGATACTGAAATTCTGTGGTGAACAAAACAGACAAGGTCCCTGATCTCATGAAGCTTATATTCTAGGGTGAAATCTAAACAATAAGCAATAATTATCATATTTTGAGCATTTACTATGTGCCAGGAGCAGTTTTAAGAACATTACATGTATCATTTATCTGTCACAGCAACCCTGTAATATAGATACTACTATTATGCCCAAAAGCAGGGACTAAGGAAACAGAAAAAGAAAGGTTGGCCAGGCGTGCTGGCTCATGTTTGTAATCCTAGCACTTTGGGAGGCCAAGGTGGGATGACTGGAGCTCAGGAGTTAGAACCCAGCTCTAGGACTCCCTATCTCTGGGAGTCTCCCTCTGTTGCCCAGGCTGGAGTACGATGGCGTGATCTCGGCTCACTGCAACCTCTGCCTCCCGGGTTCGATTGATTCTTTCACCTCACCCTCCCGAGTACCTGGGATTACAGGCACCTACCACCATGCCCAGCTAATATTTGTATTTTTGTAGAGACAGAGTTTCAGCATGTTGGCCAGGCTGGTCTTAAACTCCTG